CACAAAAAAATGAACACAGACCATGTTTACCTTCCTAACTCCAAAACTAACAAACTGACCAAAAATAATAATATAAAATAAAACAGAGTCTGAGCTTCATTTTGGCAGGTTTAGTGATGAGATGTAAACAATAGCTGAAGCATCATCTGGTCGGCTAATCAGACAAAGGCGCTTTATCGCCGGAGGAATCACAGGACTTTTGATTTACACGATCATTCAGAGTGGTGTTTGAGGCCAAAACCGAGTTCAAGGTCTTTTACAGATTGCAGATTCAAATATTTATACAGACCATTATGTTCAGATGCCACAGACTTAAAAGGGAAACGTGGCTTAAGTCAATGTCAAACTCACAAAAGTGATCTTCATGTTCAGATTTTATTTTTTAGGGTTCAGGTTTTTATGTCAACATGTAACCAAATCTCTGCAACACTTTTCTGTGGCCTTATGTTTTCTGTGCAGAGATTTATAAGCAGAAAAGTACTTTGACAACGACCTTCCAAAGTTTATATCACTTCCTGTTTTTGGTTCTTTCTGGTATCGTTCATCAGCACAAGAACATTTGTCAAAGCAAAACAGGGTCGACAATGGAAATTTCATTAAAACTCACTCAGTGGTTTTGGATATGGCAAATGTTTGTTGTGAAATTACTTAATTTGAGTTAAGAAGAAAACTGTCTTTGCGAACCCTGGGTGAGGGTTAGAGAACCAACCCTGGCTCTGTTAACTTACAAACAACTATTTCCTGTCCAAACTTCCTGAGACATTTGACACAGTTGAACTAGGACTTGTCTGTAACCACCAACTATAAATGATCAAAAGAAAACTATTTAGAGCACCTGGAACAGTCAAAACATGGACAGCACCTGCCTGGCCTCATACCTAAAACCTGTTCAGAATCCGCCGATATTTGCGGTATACTACCAGCGCCCAGCAGGACGTAGTAAGACTATGATGTTTACTTCTAGTCTGTTCACACCAGTTAGTAAAGCTTTCCTTCAAGGTTTTAACTGTTCTGACAAATTAGATTTGTATTTGTAGCTGTACATGTTCAGGTTTATGGCTGGAACATGAGTAAAATGCCCAGATGTTGTCTGGAGACGTTTGCACTGTTACTTTTACAAAGACAACTGTACTGTTTAGCCTTTTCATTTAAAACCAACCCCTCGAAAGGAAGTTGTAACAAGCTTGTCTGATACAAAGGGTCACACAATATGTTGTTATATTTGGGAGGCAGCCGCCTAAAAATCACCTATGATACGTTTACATATATCTTTGCAGAATTCACCTTATCAGCCTAATTCAAGCCTTAAACATGTTAAACTTTGAAGCAAGGGGCCCCAGTAAAACAGGGACAGCCTTAACCATTCTTACATTTTGTGCCTAACAGTTTTTGTGATGCTAAACGGATCCAGGTTTGCTGTACCTCTGCAGCAGTTTGCAGAAATTAGTTGTGTATCCTGGGTGAAGCCCCTCCACTGAAAGGGTCTACATGACACGGGCTGACAAACGGAAGTGAGGCCAGGCCTGACAGCACCTAGGACTTAAGACAGAAAGTGTGTTGCTGCTGTAAAATGCCGGTGGCTACATAAACAAAGCCTGTAGAGAGATCGATCACAGGCTGAGACTGGACGAACGCTCGCTGCTGTTAGAGAGCACCACAGGCTCAGCATAGCACCTAAAACCCAACATGGTGGACTGTAGGTCCAACAACAACATTTCTAAGGCGCTGATCAGCTGTAAGCACAAGGCTACAGATGAACTCGAGGCTTCCACTGAGCTGCACCTCAACATGATCACACAGGATGCAGTTTTTTTTCAGGTGTTTACAATCTGACAATCCATTTTAACGTCCTCTGACACAGAAACTACGACTTACAACAATCTGTGTAGCTGCAAATACCTCTGTGACGATGCCATTTCCATTCTTAATCAGGTCAAACAAACTATTCAGCGGCGGTTCAAAGCCAGGGTGTTTGTTTATCCGCTTGCTATACCTCACAGTGAAAAACAAAGGTTTTCATCAGAGCACAGTTTGGGAATTCTAACATCCCTTCCACATCATGTCACTAGTTTGAACTTTCAAGGATACTATCAGTTCTTCCGGCCTTGCAGATTCTCAGAATAAAAGCTGCGCTATGGGTTTTGTGCTTTCAAGCCTCCGGAGTGCATCCTGTGTGATCAAGTGGTTGACGGGGCCAACAAAGGTGCAGTGGGAACTGGAAGCCCCATCTCAGAGTCTCAGAACCACACGTAAGACGAATAATGATCAAGTACATGATCAACTCCGGGCTGATGATCGGCTGTAGCACCAGATGTTAGGACGGAAAACTAGTGTCAGGACTAAAACGTTTACCCACAGCTTATCTGGAGGCAGACGCTCTTTCAGATGATCGTTTGGGATGCTCTGATCAACAGGAGCCAATTGGAATGGGTTGATATTAATTACAAACTATATCATGGGTGGTGTCTCAATATTAATCCAATTACTTGGGTGAAGCAAACAAACCATGAAGCAGGTACTGTATGCTCAGCCATTGTGCATTACTGAGTACACCGCAATAGCAAATACTTCACAGTTGCACCTTATATCCAACTGTATTGCAGCACTTTTGGTTCTTGCAGTACAACACTGGACGAACATGCGGAAGCTTACACTGTGGACATAAGAAGGTACACATCCACAAAGTGATCATCTGAAGTCTGTTTATAGTTAGAAGTCTTTAAAATTCCCTGTTGTTGCGTTAAAAGAGAAGCCTGACATTCAGTAAGAGCCCAAAGAACAGGAACCAGTTGGCAATTGGGTTGTTCTAATTACATTTGTAATCTAAAAGGACAGTTGGCATATCTGTAGTTGTTCATTTGCTTCTGTAAGATCTAGACGGACTATAATGCTAATGTGGCCATAGCCTCTCCTTGGCATTAAAGGTGCAGTTTGTAACCAGGAAGTTAAGTGCTTAAATGTCTCCAAGAATTATTAGTGAATACAACAATTAATAATCTATGAAGAGTGTAAAGATTATACAGCGTCACCCTCATTGAAATGTTGACAACCAGACACACAGAGATGGAACCTTGTGAAATCTACCACTGACCCTTATTGTGTCCTGTCCCCAAGTTTGAGAAACTGTGCAAAACCTCCTGAACGGCAGCTTTATGAAAAGGCTGCATCTTTCAGCACAAGCATGAGACATCTGAGCTTTCTTGCATGGACAAAGTGAACTCAGAGATGCATATAAATCCATCAAGACTCAGTGAACTGTCCTTAATGAAGCGCCCGCTTAGTAGCACATCAAGACAAAGTTGTAGGTTCCAGCTCTAGTTTGTATCAGGGTGTGTTAGCCTACATAGGGGTAAAGTTTAAAAGGAGATGTGGCTGAAGGAATTGGTTTAATGTGTGTAGCGTGTTTTTTGTTTAGCTTCATGATTGCTATAGGTCAGAGTATAACAAAAATATGTTTTCTGTAACTGTATGAGCTGATTGAAGAGCTGCAGAGAATCCTTCTGTGCAAAACTGAGGACAGAGACAGGATGCCAGGAAAGTAGTAACAGCATTTGTTCACAGTAGGTTTGTACTGTATGTGTGTTCAACAGTAGATGATTGAAAGAACTGCAGCAGGTTGTGAGTAATCCAAGTTTTTCCTCTTCATTGTCACATTCAAACAACAGGTTGTCACTTCTCTTTGTGTGCTGCCTCGTCACAAAGCCACTCCAGTCCAGCTAAGACTGGTCTGAACATGACTCCATACAGGGAAAAAGATATTAATATCTTTGGAGGGCCCCAAAGTTCCTTGGTGGGAGGTATTCCAATCTACACAACACAAAAAATAAATAAATAAAAATAATCGAGGTTAACCAACGCAACAAAGGACTATAGTCACAGTGTCGCAGTAAGCTTTATACTCTGCTGTTCCCAAATGGGATTTGTTCCAATGGACTCTGATTTGCTTGTCTACACAGGGTCAGACTGGTCCAAACTGATTCAGAATAGCTCAGACAGACTCAAAGGTCCAGACTCACTAGTCCAAACCAGCTCAAACTGGTCCCAAATGGACTCGGACTGTTCCCAAATCTCAGATCTGTCCACAGTGACTCAGCATGGTCCCAACAGGCTACTGGTCCAAACCCACTCTGCACATTCCAGTGTGGTCTGCTCTTTCTTTGTCAGGAGGACTGCTGAAGAGCAGGCGGAAAAATGTTCCAGTTTTGTTTTAATCTGTGAGATCATAGCAAATCATCAGGAAATACGAGTAAAAACATTCTCCTACTATAAGAACCGTGCCAAGTACAAGGTAAAAACCGACCCAAGCTGCTTGTGTGGGCCAGCAGTTTTCCAAACCATTTTTAACCTTCTAGTTGTTTCCTGTGATTCAGGTTTAACAAGGCCTTTCATCACCATGTCAAGCCAACACTCTCTTTACGGTACGCAAATACACGGTTACCACTATCTAAAGTGGTACCTTTATCAAATGAAACGCATGATAATCAGTTACCATCATCACAGTCCTGCTTTCATGAGGTCATTCAGTAAAGGTAGCTTTAGTGCCTAAAGTAAGTTTCAGCGTCAGATCTAGAGGAAACTCTGCAGATGCAGGGAACAAACATTCCCTCCTTTTATACTCACAGATCAACACAGATCTCATTTTGCTCAAAACTGGCCATCACAAATCTATGTGGGTCCACATCTGACTAGAAAATTGGTAAAATAAGTCAAAGACCAACAGAAGAACAACATGTGAATTTGGGCCCCAAACTGTGACGATGGCACACAGAGAGAAGAGTCAACAATCCAACACAGCTCAACAACCTGAAGATTGAAGAGGGCTGAGATGAGAAGCAGTCTGCATACAGTTTGCTAAAACTGGCCAGGAAGGAAGCAAAGGGAAGAAGGATAGAAGGACACATAGGGGTTGTGTGGGGCTTTATCCAACAAACATCTTGGTGTAGTCACTAAAGAAGTCTACTTGTCTTTCAGTTTGTTATATTCAAGTTTTACTGCTTTCATTTTTAAACTCCCCTGTCTGTCCATTCATCTGTCTTATTCTCCATTCGCTGTCCGTTTTCCCAGCCTGACACCCCCCCCGCCAACCACACACATGTCCCAGCCCTCCTCACCTTCGATCGCTGTGTCACATGATTGTCCAGGTGTGCACCAAGCAGAGGACTGGAGGGGGTTGGGGGCTTATCATCTGATCTAAGCTCTTTGAATCCAGAGTCCCACAGATCAGTTCTGGTCCGTTGGTAATATTCCCCGTAAGCTAACCACATGCTAGTCTTAGTCTGGGGCTTGATGAGTGTGTATACATACATACATACATACATACTGTATATTATATATCGATGTGTGAGAGTGTGTGCGTGTCAGACTTTTGTGATCTGATTGTGGTGGTCCTCTTCAAACGGCTCGTTCTCTGGGTCCGAGTCCGTTGTGTCGGAGTAGCGGTAGTGATCCGGCTCGTTGTCGCTGACATCTGGTGTCACCGAGGCTGACGTGCTGCTTGCATCACAGTTAGCTCCCTCCTCTACCGTCTTGGTAAAAAACAATTTCACCTGGAGCAGAGAATGAAAACAATTAGAGATGTACAACTGTTGACCCTCAGGGTTGACAAGCTGCAAAACCCCGTTCCTGATAGTGTGGCCAAGGACCCCTGTGGACACTCACTATTGGTTGCTTTCTTGTCAGCTGCTTGGGAACTGCACTGAGCTCCCTGTCCACACAGGAAGCTGGCCGACAGTGAAAAGGCACAATGCTGAGACTGGAGTACTTGTCAGGAGGGTCTGCTGCATCCTGTACATACACTGTACAGTGCCACTTGTATGTGCACCGCCTTTTTTCTGTTTTTTCTCTCCAAGACTGCGTTGCATGCACGCAAATGACCAGAAAGTAGATCTGACATTGTCGTTAGTGCTACGTGTACATCAAGTTGACATCAATACTCATTTGATCTGTGACCATCATCTGCCACCATGCCGCTGACTTGTTAGGTTGCTATTGACATCACGGCTTTGCACAATGTAGAACTGCTTGTCTCCAGATTATGCTTGTTACCACATATATGGGGCAACTAACAACATGGTCCATGCTGCCACTGACAAATACAGTCCTGCTCATTCCGCAAAACAGCTGGGTTTGGATTTGAGAATTCTAGATACATGTTAGCGTATGTATAGTTTTTTCAACTACAACATACAGTGGTGTGAAAAAGTGTTTGCCCCCTTACTGATTTCTTATCTTTTTGCATGTTTGTCACACTGTAATGTTTCAGATCGTCAAACAAATTTATATATTAGTCAAAGATAACACAAGTAAACACATCATGCAGTTTTTAAATGAAGGTTTTTATTATTAAGGGAAAACAAAATCCAAAACTATAGAGCCCTGTGTGAACAAGTGTTTGCCCCCCTGTCAAAACACTGGTTTATCGCACCTGAGTTCAATTTCTCTTGCCACACCTGTTCGCAATCAAGAAATCACTTAAATAGGACCTGCCTGACAAAGTGAAGTAGACCAAAAGATCCTCAAAAGCTAGACATCATGCCGAGATCCAAAGAAATTCAAAAACAAATGAGAAAGAGAATAATGGAGCTCTATCAGTCCGGAAAAGGTTATAAAGCCATTTCTAAAGCTTGGGGACTGCAGCGAACCACAGTGAGAGCCATTATCCACAAATGGCGAAAACATGGAACAGTGGAGAACCTTCCCAGGAGTGGCCAGCCGACCAAAATTACCCCAAGAGCGCAGCGACAACTCATCCAAGAGGTCACAAAAGACCCCACAACAACATCCAAAGAACTGCAGGCCTCACTTGCCTCAGTTAAGCTGAGTGTTCATGACTCCACCATAAGAAAGAGACTGGGCAAAAATGGTTTGCATGGCAGAGTTCCAAGACGAAAACCACTGCTGAGCAAAAAGAACATAAAGGCTCGTCTCAGTTTTGCCAGAAAACATCTTGATGATCCCCAAGACTTTTGGGATAATACTCTGTGGACAGACGAGACAAAAGTTGAACTTTTTGGAAGGTGTGTGTCCCATTATGTGTGGCGTAAAAGTAACACCGCATTTCAGAAAAAGAACATCATACCAACAGTAAAATATGGTGGTGGTAGTGGGATGGTCTGGGGCTGTTTTGCTGCTTCAGGCCCTGGAAGACATGCTGTGATAAGTGGAACCATGAATTCTGCTGTGTACCAAAATATCCTGAAGGAGAATGTCCGGCCATCCGTTTGTGACCTCCTGCAGTCCCCAAGCTTTAGAAATGGCTTTATAACCTTTTCCGGACTGATAGAGCTCCATTATTCTCTTTCTCATTTGTTTTTGAATTTCTTTGGATCTCGGCATGATGTCTAGCTTTTGAGGATCTTTTGGTCTACTTCACTTTGTCAGGCAGGTCCTATTTAAGTGATTTCTTGATTGCGAACAGGTGTGGCAAGAGAAATTGAACTCAGGTGCGATAAACCAGTGTTTTGACAGGGGGGCAAACACTTGTTCACACAGGGCTCTATAGTTTTGGATTTTGTTTTCCCTTAATAATAAAAACCTTCATTTAAAAACTGCATGATGTGTTTACTTGTGTTATCTTTGACTAATATATAAATTTGTTTGACGATCTGAAACATTACAGTGTGACAAACATGCAAAAAGATAAGAAATCAGTAAGGGGGCAAACACTTTTTCACACCACTGTAGGACCCACATTTCTCAAATCTGAGCGTCTTTCACTATTTCCCTGTCAAATTTTGTCTTCTATGATTTTATTAAATGCTAAGAATACAACCAGCATACATTCTTGAATCCCTCTGTTTTTACTTGTAGTGCTTGATCACGGTCACAGCTGTTGTGAGAAAAAGCAAAAACTTCATTATCAGAACAGTGACTAGATTTTCTCCTATACTTGAGGATCGTTTAGCAGAGACCTATAGACTTGTCATAAATGACTCGGCCAGAATCAGAATCATCTTTAATGGCCAAGTATGTTTGAAATAACAAGGAACTTGATTCCAGTGCAGAGGCTCTCAGTGTGTTGTTAGGCAACAGGAAATAGAAAATAATAAATAAATCAAATATTAAATATGTGCAATCAAAAACAGGAAAAGAATGAAAGGAGAATACAATATTTATAAATATATGTACACAAATACACATTACAGGAGAAGGGTTTATGCAGTGGCTACAGTCAGGGTTAAGTGTTGATCAGATCGACGGCCCGGGGGAAGAAACTGTCCGTGTGTCTGGTTGTTGTGACATACAGTGACCTGTAGCGCCGTCCAGAGGGGAGGAGCTCAAACTGTGTTTGACCAGTTTGTGGGCCCACAATACCTTACAGTTGACAAACAAGTAGCTTAATGTGAACACGGTCTAATCGGATTTAATGGTGAAACCAGCTGAGGTTTACCTTGAAGTTCGGGGAGAAGTTCCTGTTGGCCTTGTCTTTGTTGGCCTTGTCCAGGTCGTTCTTGGTCAGAGTGAGAACCAGGTAGTCTCTGTCGTTGGTTTCTGCTCCCACCATCATTGCAGTCATCGTTCCCGGGTTCTGGTGTGTTCTGTCGGCCAGCTCCCGCAACGTCCCAGCACTGCCATTCTCCAGTTTGTCTGGGTTCTCCTCCGGACCTGGGATGAAGAACGTGTTGACCCAGAAGTGGAACATCTTTTCCTTAAAGGATAGAGGAAGAAAAGCCTTAGAATTCTGATGCAGCTGCCAACTCTGTAAAGAGTTCCTTCCTCTTTTGCTCTGTGAGGCTGACGTGTTTTTGGAGGGTTGTTCCTGGTCTAACTCACTTGTCTAAGGACAGAAACTGATTTGTGGTTCTGAGTTGCATGAAGAACCTTGCCATGCTTTAGAAACAGAGCTGGAAAGTTTTCAGTCCCTTCACTTGAGACATTTCACTAAATTACATTGCATTCACTTTTTAGACATCAGTTATACACACAGTGTTCCATATAAGTGAATAAGTCTGTAAATAGAACATTTCATTATTTTGATATGCAAGTACATACAAGCATTTCTAGAAACAGGTACCGACAGAGATATTTTGCCTCATTTTGTGCAGAATGAAGTGCCAAAGAGTGCATTCAGAGTAGTGTGTAACAAGTGAAGGGGTGTGAATACTTCCTAAAGCCACTGTATTTAAATTATCCAGGAATTTAAAGCAGTGCACATTTGAGGGGGTCAATGTCATAAAAAGCAAGTAGAAGCACCAAATAAACAAATGAAGTGTGATAAACATAAACAGGACACATGACTCACGTGTATGTACCACAGCTACACATTGGTTGTTTTGCTGCTGTACGTTTCCATATTGAACAATATTATTTTTACATTGGTTTGCAATGAGTCATCCTCACCTTCTTCATCATCTTGTTCTGCTTGTGGAAGAATTCCACCTTGATGTCTCCACAGACAGGAAGTGGCTGCGGGAGCTCAAAGATCATTAGTTTGTCTTCTCTCCGGGTGTGGGTGGGGTTAGAGGTGTGGATCTTCACCTTCAGCTGGTAAACGACAAACTGAGGGTCTGCACCAAGAACACAAGAACACAGGAGGTGGTTCCTCATTCCTCAGTGTATTTTTCTGGTCCTGTGTAATGAAATGTTATAGAACCTGTCAGACAAACTCACTGCAGGTGCCTCCAGTGAACATGGGGACCGTTTCAAACAGCATCTTGTGGAAGAGCAGAGCGATAGGTTTGTACTGCAGCTGGTTCCTCAACAGGAAGCTGTAGTAGATAACGTAGCGCCGCTGACTGGGAATGGTCACACCCTGAACACACACACACCACATAAACAGAAATCATTCAAGTGCCAATAAGCAGTGGATCATTTTCACACAGCTTCAAGGACGCAGCCGGTGAGTTTGGATGTTCATGTTATTTCCCACAAACCCCGTCGAGAGACCTGCAGCACCAGTGAATGTGGTGTATTCATTCATTAATGTGTGAGTCCAGACGCTTATTGGTCTGTGCAGTAAACCTCCACTGTTGTCCACCAGCTACACTGAGCCACACTGCTGCACTGGGGGGCAGGTTTCTGCCCTCAGGAAACATGGGAGGCTGTCCATTTCCAACAAACAACTCCAAGCACCCTTTACACTACTTCACTAGATTCTCGTGCTGCACAGAACAACATCGGCTTGTGTCTGTACTCAGCCACAGATCATCTGTGGACCCTCAGTATGTGGATGAAGTCGCATATTAATAATAAGGCATCAGGTTTAGGACCTACAGCTGTTACTCCACTGTATCAATCAACATTTAGATCAGATGAACCTCGTTAATCAAGATGAAGGGAGACCCCAACTTTGTATATTCCTGTAATTTATACCTCATTGCAATTAAAGTGAACATATCCTCTTCCCAGTTGGTTTTCAGCCTACACCAACAAAGGCACACCAGAGGTTTAACCAGTCCATCAGGCCAAAGTCCAGTCTCTTTAACTGGTCAGACTTTAATGGAACATCTCTCTACAGTTCATTTGACACGTGGTCTTCAGAGAACTGACCTTGTTCTTTGACGTACTAACATACTAAGAGTACCATCACAACCAGGCGTCATACTTGTAACACCAGTGGAGCTGTGCCTACCTTCTTATCGCGAGTGCGGACCTCTCCGTAGAAGTCCAAGGCCTCCTGAGCTTCCTGAAACTTGCCTCGGTGCAGCAGGTAGGCACAGATCATGACACCGGTTCGACCTTTTCCAGCCTTGCAGTGGATGGCTGCGACATGCTGCTCATCCTCACTCAGCCATTGGTCCAGGTCCTCACAGAATGGCTTTATCAGCTCCAGCTGGGGTGGGTTGTGGTCCTCAAAGGGATACTGAGCAACTGAAAGAGAACCAGCGCAGAGGTGAGACATGCAGCGCTTCTTTTCTCTCTCTGGATTAACTTTCAGTGCAGCATGTGATGCTGTAAGGGTCCGATGAAAGTGGTGACAACACAGTATTACTTTTTTTATTTCCTGGTCGCATTTCTTTAACCTTAATCAGGAGCTCAAAGGACGGGTAAGAAGAGTCAGACAATGTTCACCTGCAGTCACCAAGGCTGAGGAAATATCTGTAAGTGTAGCTGTAAATACTTCCTGTGTATAAACTACACGCCTGCATTTGTGGCAGCATCAGGTAAGAGTTTCTTTTTAGAATGAATGGTAATTTACAGAAGCTTGGTGAACGACATTCTGGTTTATGGAGAGGAGAATGACCTCATCCTCAACATAAACAAGACAAAAGAAATAATAGTAGACTTCAGGAAGAACCCCTCCCCTCTGCTGCCTCTGACCATCAAAGGGACTGAGGTGGAGAGGGCTGACAGCCTGTTCCTGGGCCTGCAGGTGACATCTGACCTGAGCTGGTCACTGAACACAGCTGTCACAGTGAAGAAAGTCCAGCAGCGGCTATACTTCATCAGGCAGCTCAGAAAAGCTGGGTTGAACTGTTGCCCTCTCACCTAGGCTTATAGAGGACTGGTGCCATCTACTACAATGGCTTTAGAAACATCTGTAAGACCTCATTCATACTTTGACTACTTCTCCCCTATAGATCTCTCTGAGTTGACCTCAACAATTGCTTCATCTAAATCATCAACATGTCTCCTGGACCCCATCCCGACCAGGCTGCTCAAAGACGTCTTTCCCCTAATCAACACATCCATACTAGATCTGATTAACCTCTCTCTATTAACAGGTTATGTTCCACAGTCTTTTAAAGTTACAGTAATTAAACCTCTACTCTTGACCCAGGTGTCCTAGCTAATTATAAACCAATATCCAATCTCCC